ATGTTTTTATAAAAAGTTTGCGAAAAGAACTTAGAATAAAAACCTTGCATACATTGTGAAAAGTTCTCTGTGCCAATACTTTTGTCCCTATGTGTATAAAAGTTAAAAGTACTTAAATTAAAAAATCCATTTTATCAATTGCGTGAGTTCTTCCCCGTTTTTTCTTGCAGTGATCTCGTTAGTTTTCGTTTTGCTATCCTGTCTTTAGCATGCACAAAATGCTTTTGAAGCACACCGTTCATTTCCTGGTCTGTGCTTTTGTATTTTAGATGGCCAATATCTAACATGACAAATATTAATTTTGTTTTGACAAAATATGGGTACATTAAATATGGGTTCGCACAAAATTATTGGCCCAGGGAATTTTCCACAATGCATGAAAAATTTATAAAAAAAAATTGCGTTGATTTTTGGAAATTTTTTCTCGCAGTTTCTTCCATGTTCGAATTTTTTTTTGTATGGAAGAAACTGCGTGATAAAATGGCAAAAATCACCGGGCTTTTTTGGAAATTTCAAACTTACATTTTTTTTACCTACTAAAATTGAATGGGTTAAATAATTGCATACTTAGAATCTTTCTAGAGATATTAACTAAATTTTTAAAAGTTGAAAATATGTATGCAATTTTATTGGCTTTTTCTGAGTTTTGCGCAAAATTTAGAGATTTTGTTTTCCTACTTTTTGTTGTGGCATGAACTATATTTTTATAAAAATTTAGTGGAAAAACTTAAATTAAAAAATGTAGATGTATTGTGCAACGATTTCCCGTCATCCCTTGCCAATTTTTGTTTGGAGACAACCGGTTTCGGCGTTATGTCATCTACAGTGTCTTCTTCGAAATATAACACTGAAGATGCATAACGCCAAAACCGGTTTGACTCCAAACCAAAATTGACTAGGGATGACGGAAAATCGTTAAACAATACATCATATTCCTACCCTGTCGAAAAAAAAACAACCAAAACTAAAATTTTCCACACATTGTGAAAAATTCCCTGTGCCAATAATTTTGTGCTACACTGTCCTACTTTTAATCGTTGTTATTAGAAAGCACTTTTCGGCGCTTGGCACTAAGCTGGTCCCCTTCCAGCTGTAAGCAGAAGCCAATTCGTCACAAAATACTTTTCGGCCGGCGGTTCTTAGAAATTTTGCGGGTCCGTCACCGCCTGTTTTTGCTATGAATTCATTCTGAAATTTTTTATAAAAATACTTGTATAACCAAATTCATATAAGAAGTTAAATAAAAAACAT